CGAAGACTTTCATAATTCTATGTGAGTAATATATTATTTTATCAAATATTTTATCAAAATATTATCAAACATTTCAATTGGCATTATTTTACGTAAATCAATACCTAGATAATAAAAACAATATGGCTGTGTAATTTGGAGTTTTGCCTTGAAGAAGGATAAGACTGTTTTCAGGGGCAGGGTCCAGGGATATCGTCTTCCGAACCTTTTCATTTTACCTTTTTGCTTACACCTGAATGTTTTCTAGTCATATAAAATGACGGAACGTATATATACAAGTCCGGACATACCATATCACCAGTAAAGTGTACATAGTTTAGTACATGTACATAGCAAATAATAGATATTCTGTTTAATACCAAGAATCATAAAACCGACTTGTTTACTTTATGTTCAACTTGCACAACTTAATGTAAAATGGCTGGGTGAAATGTAATTTTGATATTAACTGTACTCGAACATCACTTAATTTAGTAATCCATTTTCTATAATCTGTATACATAATTATTACTTAAACGTAACTTATAATGGTTATTTGATTTTGATAGTAAACATATCGGCAAAGATTTTTTAAGGGCTCGCCTTATAAATCTAACAATATCACGACAATACGGGAAATACAAAAGTTTAATAGGGAGGTTTGCAACGCTATTTAACAGTTTAAATTACCCGTTAGGGTATACTAAATCACCCCTGAAACCAATAGAGCTTACAGCACCGTCACAGTATAACTAACAAAGTGGGGGACGAACACCACAAATTGCTGTTTTGGCACGTGACCTATTATTGTATTACACGGTGATTTCAAGCGTTGTTTCCCCTCCTGGACACGTTCTTTATTACTCACCCAGTAATAAGACGAGCTAGGAAACTAAAAACTTAAAAATCTTAATTTTCTGTTCCATCAAGATATCATATTAAAATTCGCCTTTTATGCTATAAATCATTCATATTTTATAAACCATTCACTGCTTGTGAATTGTGATTTTATCAGAGTAAGTACTTGATGGATAATAATTTATTAGTTAGCAAAAACTTTCTGATTACATATTCTTATTGCCTTTTTATCAGTCCGATACCGGATACCGGTGTGGTCATTTCGTAGATAAAAGAGTTGAGATACCTGCTATTACTATTACAGATATACAATGTACATGTGACCACCAAAGATTATGATAAGTTGTCAGATAAAAAAAATCGTCTGTTAAAATATAGATGTGTGAGGTCTTCAATACTGGTTTGGTATATTGTAAAACAACAACATTTGTCTTAAATGAAACAGTTGTAACATTCGTGAAAGTATTTTACTTCAAGAGTCTATGAATATATTTCATCCATGTATTTTGGTAAAGCAGAAGCAGTAACTACAAATATGTCACGTTTCCTAGCCATTCGTTGATTTTTTTCTGAAGAAAAAAATAAAAAACACGCACGCACGCACGCACGCACAACAATAAAAAAAAAACACAAAAAAAAAACAAAAACAAAAAAAACAAAAAAACAAAAAACAAAAACACAAAAACAAAAAACACTTCAACATTAGCAATAAAAATGCCAAACAAATGTTGCTGGTTTTTAAAACATGCATTTTCCCTTGACAGAACAAGAGGTTCACTTCGCTCTTAAATTATCCAGATAATTATCCAGGTAACGATTCAAAGATCTCGGGGCATATTGATTTGTTTATGAGAACCAACGGATGAATAGGCAATGCAAGTTGCATGTTCTTGTTATGAACTCTATTAATAGTAACTAACAAATTGCTGATAAGACATACGGGTAAATTGTTTATAATCATTGACTGTTTTTATAGATAATTTTTTTTATCGCTCTTTGTAATAATAAAATAATATTTAGCTGTACCGAATCCACACTACCCTACACTTCATAGGTTTAATTAAAGGCATAGCAAATGTTAAACATTTTAATGTTTATGTAATTAGTCACTGACTGCATATTAAAAGTACATTCAATAATGATGTTTATTTGTAAATAAAAATCAAAGCAGCAGTAACGTGATTTGTTGTAAAAAACCGTAAGAATTCAGCACTTATTATCAAAATAAATCATCTATTGTAAGGCGATCTTAAATTTCATAAATAATTTAATATCCATCATAAGTACTCATTCTTATTAATGAATCTGATTTAGGAAAAGAATACAGTAACAACACAAGAACGTGCATTAAAAAGAATGTCTTAATAAAAAATTCGCGTTAACAAATTCAAAAGATTTCATGAAGAACTAGAGAGTCGGGTGATATCTTATGTATGCGGTTTATGCGTTACGAACACCTGCTATGAAAGAGCATATCTGTCTTTGTTGTTTTTTTAACCACGTTTAAGGTCCGTTTATTTAAGAAAAATAATACAAGAATACAAGCCATGATAACTATAGCATTAACATTGATATGTAGATAATTAAAAATAAATTTATTTTGTTATGTTTTTAGTCAGGTATTATATCAGAATATAATTATAAGAGATTTAAAAAACTGAAGAGGTTCATTCATTTACACAATTTCACAAGAAAAGAGGCAAAAGGGTGAAAAAGAAAAGAGTAAATGAACTGTTTTGGTAGCATTTTTCTCTGTTTGTACTATATAGATATGAAACAATTCAATTAGATTTATCCAGAAATTTTCAAATTCTTCTAATGTGTTATTTTGTAACCCAAAATTTACTGGTATAAATGTAATATTTTGAAAAGAAAAAATATACGATGTTTTCTTATCTTTAGCATGAAAGAAAGATGTAAAAATGTCATACGTAACATTTATTGCTATTTCATTAAGCCATTTGAATAAATTATTCCAGAATATTTGTACCGTTTGTACCTGTAAAATATTATTTATTTGTTACATGTATTATGCTCTTCAATATTGGAGGAATTATTTGTGAATTCTCAATTTCATCATTTTGAAATCGTGATTTCGTGAAGTTGAAATCGAAAAATTTATGGAATTGAAATCAGGAATTCATGAAGTTGAAATGTCCCTACCGGTTTTTCATAGTGATTAAATACGGTTCTTACCTGTTAATACGGTAAACAGGCAAGCTGTGTTGATTGTTAACAACTGCAGTCGAATTTACCCATGTTGTTAAGGGATGTTGTTATCTGAATGATTTAGTTATCTTCACGCCTATTTGATTGTTATTGGCCTGCGTGATTTGTTATTATATAACAGGTACCATGTTGTCTTATTTTTTGTTTCCTGGTAAATGCCTTACATCAGGAAAAAATGAGTAATTTTATTCTGATTCATAGGTGCTGAAAGCGCTTTTCAAATGTTGAAAGATTCTATCATAACAACAAAGAGGAATGTATCTATAAAGAAACCAGCTGTCTTTGGTGTTGTTAACTAAATATTGAAATACGCTTACATATAATCATTTGATCCGCGTCATGACAATACTTACATAATTGGTTTGCGACCAGCATGGATCCAGACCAGCCTGCGCATCCGCGCAGTCTGGTCAGGATCCATGCTGTTCGCTTACAAACCCTATAACAAGTAGAGAAACTGATAGCGAACATCATGGATCCTGATCAGACTGCGCGGATGCGCAGGCTGGTCTGGATCCATGCTGGTCGCAAACCCATTATGTTGGTTTTGTCGTGACGCGGCTCATTTATGTTTCAACGATTAGTAAAACCACCTAATGTTTGAGATTCGCGTTTTTGCCTTTCTGTTCGAAATAACGTATTCGTCTCCAAATGCTGACATAGAAATCAACGTTTGTATAACAGGTAGGGAAAGATCCTGGCACAGAAGGCAGTAATGTTGGACCGTTTATCAAATTTGATGTCTATTAAGGCTAAAACACATGTTGATATCATAGGTCGATTACTATAGATAATTGTCTACCTAACGTTTTGAATGTTTAAATCCTGCATTAGGCGGCCCTATTTGCCATTTACCTTTAGCCTGCTAATGTCAAAATGCGATCAGAGCAGAGCAAGATCGGCCGGGGTATCCATCCAGTCTGGTCATCCTGTTCGTAATTTGGTCAGAATTTATTTTGTAATTTTCTGTAAAAATGATGAATAGATTTGCCCGATCGAAAGATAAATAAATCTAATTAAAGTATTTGTTATGGTAAATGTTATATTTGAAAAATTCAAATGAACAAACAGCTAAAATTGTTTATGTTTACTTGGCCTCACAAGATTTGCCTTGTCAGAATATTACCTTTACTGATAATGAATTGCTTTCCAAGTTGTTTTTGTCTTCTTTTTTTAAATACGTGTTGTTAGAATGTTAGCTTAACTGATAATGAATTGCTTTCAAAGTTCATTTAGTCATTTTTAATGCGGCTCGGAGTCTGCCTTTTATCCAATGCTCGTAGGTTGAGGGCTCAAAATGTGTTTGTGTGTATAAATCATGCGATGTTTTACCGTGCATTGCACTTTTATAGTATAATAAAACTAAACAAAAATGTAATAAAAATGCCAAAAAAGAATGTTGCTGGTTTTAGAGCATGTTTTTCTTCTTTCAGAATATGAGGTCAGCTTCACGCTTAACATATCCTGATAAAATGCATGGCAAAGTTACTGTAATACCGATTGATGCTAATTTCAAGGCAGATAATAAATGATAGTACTGCAGGCTGTTTGGCTTATTTATATGTTGCCTATTCTTAAATAACCATTTATAACACTAAAACCAAAATAATGGCGGTAATGGGAATTTTAAGTTTGGTGGCAGCGCTTTGCAAAATAAAAAAATCTATGGTAAATACTGGTCCCACAATTTGTGTAACCATATCTTTTATCATTATTGTAAAATGCTCTATTCTCGAAAACAGCTTCAATATCTTCATTTCACATTTTCAGTAACAAGTCGGTTTAAATAAAAAGTAAACAGAACTCCTCTCCTTGAAGTACTCCATTCAAATACTGGTCCGACACTTATTGTTTAAATCTTTCTGCTGACATAAATATTTTAAAGCCACGGCAATTTCGATCGATGGTCATATCCTAAAAAGATGACAAAAAAGACAAGATGACGTATTTAAATTTTAAAAGCATACTCTGTTTACAACAGATTCATTCATATGAATTACAGTATTCAATTTAATATATCTAATATTCATATATCAATTTATGTTTATAATTTATATACACATGCAACACACATTGATCCGTGTTTTAATGATATGCGTGCACATCATAAATCAATCACATGCACGGAAATAACGTGCTATAAAGTCGATGTTCTAGAACGCCAGGTCCTTTCAGCAAGACTTCTAAGAGACTGCTGAATCTGCAGCTTGGCGGCAACTGCAGGGTTTGACATGAAACGAGTTAGTTTTTCGCGTTTCTTCATCACCAACCTAACTTGCTTAGCTAATACTGTGAACACCTCAAAAACACTATCTCTAGCCTCGCTTGCAGAGGTCTCAAAAAAGAACAAATTATATTCTGCACAAGTTCTTGAAAGGTCAGTGTCTGACACTTCTTTTCTATCAATGAGATCTGATTTATTGGCCACTAGACCGATTGGAATTTGACTGTCTTCTCTAATGTTGTGGATATGATCCACTATGTTTCTTGCTAAATCAAAGCTGTCTCTATCTATGATAGCATAAACAACTATAACACAATCTGCCCATCGCACTTGTTCTTCACTTATGTCTTCCTTCTTGACCTGAAATGAGATATATTTTTATAAATACATGTAAATAGTTTTAAATGATATAATTGTTAAAATGTTTAAGTGAAAGTATTTTTATTAAACCTTTATTTTACCTTTATATTGAAATGCAGGCCGTATATTGAATATGTGTTGTCTTGTCATATATGATGTTTTATTGATGTATAATTCTCAAAGATTTTATGCTCTTTTTACTAAATTGGTAAAACAACAACAACAACAACAACAACAACAACAAAAAGAATGATAAAAAAAATAAATAAAAAAGTATATATTAAACTACTGATTGCTATTTATAAAATGATGAAAGGTTTCATGGAAGAAATAATTATCAGTATTAGTTAATTTTTGGTTGACACAATGTTACAATGTTAACATATGTAACACGTTGTGTAATGGAGACAATGTAAATGCATTTCTTTCACTAACACAAATAATTGATGTTGAAGCGTTAAGTAATCTGCATTAAATTTTATGAATAAATTAATAGTCCAATGACAATAAAATACATTGTAACTATGATATTAAGAGATAAGTAATTATTATGTATACATACTTTGTTAATAAATTATTAATTACAATTATGTAACTAATGCAATTCTTCAATTTTTATCTATACAATTATATAAGCTATGCGATCTTTTAATGATAAATTGATTCTATAATTCCATCATATTCATACTTCAAACGTAGATTCTATAACATTGGGGCAATCTTTGGCAATAACGTAGTAACATCTATGGGTAGCATATGGAAACACTAATTGTTTAAAAACTGGACATTTCGCTTCATATTAATGGAACTCCATTGAAGTAAAAAACTTAAAAACAACATGAATTTGTATTTCTTGTAAAGATCAGCTTTGGCACCTATACAACAATTAAATATGCAAAAGCTAATTAAGAAATATACTACGAAATCGTGGGTTTTTGCTGTGCTTGTAAGGTTTGCGTGCAAAGTGTTGCAACGCTTTTCAATGTTTGGTCATTTTTTACAATTGAAATAATTATTCTGGAAAAACGGAGAGAGCGAATGCTATGAAATTTTGCATACGATTTACGTTATGATATGTACAACCAATGGAACATTGATCTCGATTTTTTTAGTTCAGTAATGTCCAAAAATCTGGAAACAAAGTGATACCTCGGAAGCATTAATCACAACAAAATTACATGAGACTTGCAGACTCGGTTAAATTGAGTCTCTACGTGAGGGATAACGAACAAATGCAACAGCCTCACGCCCCCTAGCACCGGCTTGAGCGGTACTCAATTCTCAAAAGTAAATAGAGCTGGCATCAATGATCAAGAAGGACCAGAAAAATATAACAAGTCCTTTAACGAGTCCTTTTAACAATTCTTAAGCTTACGTGTTTCAATCGAGCTTTACAACCGACTTAAATGTATACAAATCATGCAATCTGCACACCTGCTTCCAAACAACACTTGTAATTTCCAGAAACAAACAATTTGATAAACAACAACATAAATTACAAGCCACGTTAGAACATCTAATTTACTTGACATGTTAAGATGCATGATGAAGTTCGGTGCTGTCGGAACATGTTGGAAGTATTCTTTTACGTTAGCGATATCTTTGAAGTTAGAAATTCTTGATTCAAATAAAAGAAGGAAAAAAATTACGTAAAGGCAAATGTACAGAAGTCTATGCTTTTTAAAAGATTAAACAGTTCAGTGCACGGTTTCGTTTCGTGCTATGTGTTATCTTTACCACACATTTGACAAAAAACATCAGAAAATAGAGTACTTCACTTCAGTGTTGTTATATTTTCTGGTCCTTCGGGATCATTGATGCCAGCACTATTAAGTGTTGAGAATTGAGTACCGCTCAAGCCGGTGCTAGGGGGCGTGAGGGATGTTGCACTTATTCATTATCCCTCATGTACAGACTCAATCAAACCGAGTCTGCAATTCTTATTTAATTTTGTTGTGATTAATGCTTCCGAGGGATCACTTTGTTTCCAGAATTTTGTACTTCACAACAGCAGGTGTCAAGTGCTGTGTTGCAGCTGTAAAAAGTTGCCCCGTACTTCACTTCAGTGTTGTTATATTTTCTGGTCCTTCGGGATCATTGATGCCAGCACTATTAAGTGTTGAGAATTGAGTACCGCTCAAGCCGGTGCTAGGGGGCGTGAGGGATGTTGCACTTATTCATTATCCCTCATGTACAGACTCAATCAAACCGAGTCTGCAATTCTTATGTAATTTTGTTGTGAATAATGCTTCCGAGGGATCACTTTGTTTCCAGAATTTTTTACTATACAAATTTTTTTTTTCTTGTTTTTTTTGGTTGCACCATCATTTTTGAAATCAGCTTTACTGCTGGAACGAATACCTCAGGTGCCCCTCTTCTATATTATAGGCAAGAGCAGGTACATGAGTAGAACCACCGACGTCCTGTAAGCTAGCTGGTGACCGAAGTCTATGATTGGATTCGAAACAACGATGTCGGAAGTGGTTTGAAAAACATTATAACCAATAACGAAGAATGAACATATTGATAATACGAATTTAATACGTTTAATCCCATTAAGAAATCAATAATTTGAAATTTGAATGTGTTATCATCGAATGTTATTGAATTAGTTTTCTTAAATAATCTAGAAATTCACAATGGTTGTAAGACAGATACTCTTTTGAAAACTACATAAGATAATTTATTTAACTGTGCAAAGAAACGTTTTAATCGAAAATAAATCGAGGGTTTAAGACCTCGTTTGACAGTTTATCAACCAATGAATTTGGCGTTTCTTTTACATTTCGGTAATTTCAAGGACAGATCATTATCAACAATCATACTTTTACTATTGGTTTATTTTTTTCAATTTAGTCCTTAGTTACAATGCAAAATTCCACAAAACAATTTTGTTCAGTCATTTAGTTTAAAAACGGAGACTAAAAAGTCTTTAAAAATTTGACTTATTTCTGGAAATACCCACCACCACCAACAACTACATATGCTCTTGAAATTTTGCATACTCACTCAGGTGACAATAACTACATGAAATGCAGAAAAAATAAGGCATTTGCTGACCTTATTGTGAATAATTTGGCCTTGAAATAACTAAAATTTTCAAATTCAAGGGCACATAATTCAAAGCTAGGTCGGTTGCCCGTTGTAGGGATGAAACTGTTTCTCTGTTGATAATCCAATATCATGAGGTCTTAATACATTCCATTATATAGTTTTCAGTCGGTTCTATGTCTTTAATCGACCCTTGCATACGCCTTTTATTTTCTATTTTAATACTTGCAAAACTATTTGCCGCTCTTCACAAATTGAAACATTATTAAAAGGACTATAAAAAGGATGAAATGTATAAATCCAAGAAAGTTCATGTTATTACAAAAGGTTGAAATGAACATTTTATATTAATCAAAAATGTTCTATGATATCCAGATATTTCATGAACAAATAGCAAATAAATAGATACTGCAAAAGAGCCAAGATGTGATTCATTAAAATGAAGGAACTTTGCTAGAAGCGGAAACACTTAGTTAACGCCTTGGAAAACTTTACTATATGTTTGTGATCCAAAACGAGACAAATTTGAAAACATATCTTATCGATGATAAAACATCATTTATTTTATCAAAGTAATTTAACTACCACAGATAAAGGTAAAAATTGATATTGCAAAAAATATCAGAAATATAACATCTGTTGTGATGAACGGTCGTCAAAGAATAAGTTATATAGCATCTCCAATAGAATGTACTGGGAGACCTTTCATAGCCTCTAACTGAATGAAATGTGTACAAGCTAAGCAATCTTAACATCTGCTAGCAAAAAAGCTCTTGTCGAGTAATTTAGAGAACAAACAACTTGATAAACAACAACAACAGAAGGATAAACCGTGTTTAAACACCTACTTTATTACCATCATAAGATGTCAGATAAACTTTAGAACCGGCATGAAAGTGTAAGTAATCTGCTTCACATTTACAATTAATTACTTTTATTTTCTCACAGGATTAAAATGATCGACGCAAGGTAGAAAATGAAAGGAAGAATCCCAGATAGAATTGAATCGACAAAGTATATATTTGAAATACGGCTCAACTTGGAGTTTGTTTCAGAGAAAGCATGTATTAACAGAGTCTAGAAACTGTTAAAGTTGTTGCATGAATGTTAGAAATTATGATCATAGATGTGTAGTTAAACAGGGAAATTATAATAAACAAGCAACCTTTTACAAACATTATCTGCCGAAAAAAGACGTAAACATAATTTAATAAGTGATTAACACAATAATGAAATTGAAATAGACAATTATAATTAAAATAATCATTTTAGGGATAAAATAATCTGTTGAAAGAAATGTTTTGAGTGATGACGTTAACATTATTTGATTTGACTCGAAATTCTTATAAATATAATAAACCTGAGAATGCATGTTGCTATATGTGTATCTTCCATAAAATAATAGCTATTGAACAAATAAGTTAGGTAGCTATATTAAATACATATAATTATGAAGTTGCATTGGTATTTGATGTAAAAGCATTGCAATATTTACATGTAAGACAAAGAGAACAACATGTTGAATAACGAGCCCGAAAAGTATATGTTTACCTGTCCTAATGTATCAATTATGTGCAACGTCACATGTTTGCCATCTATTACTGTACAGTGACTGTAAAGCATTTCTGAAATCACAACAATTTTCAATGTAAGAAAATCTCAAATATACAAACATATAATGAGTAAGTCACTGTGTTCAAAGAATAACAATTTACCAAACTTATGACCAGTACAAAATATAAAAATTACAATAGTTGATTTTATAAATTTAATATTCATTGAAGAGGTATCGGCAAAAATGTGTTTAAAACTCTGCCTTTAAAACCCTGTTTTATATATGTGTATCATTTAATGGTTTAATTGTTAACATCAAAAGTTGATAGGAAAAAAAATCAGCGCCTCCTTATAAATCATCATAATCACTCTTGCCGAAAAAGCGCCGTCCATGAACAGACTCTGTCCAACCGAACCTGCAACATTTTCAATTTTTCCGTTTTGGACTTCCTTTAGAGATTCTTATTTTCTCTTTTTTGACACAAATACCGACTGATATAATTAAACACCTCGTCAATGTGCTATTTCTATCCGAGGATGTTTCATCCGTTTTAAATAGTTACATCTAAAATGTTTAAAAAGGCTGAAAACTGTCAGATTTTATGTTTATGGGGTTGAAATTTTCAAAAAAATAATGCTTACCAAGCTCCGAGTTGTAATCTCCAATGAAACGCTTAGTTAGATATCGCACCGTCAATGCTGAAAATATAAATAACAAATTCGGGTTGGTATTTATAAAAATAATATAAGAAAAACAAGTTTGTTTTAGAAATAAGTAAAAAGTACGTTATTATATTAAAAAAATAGTCCGTTTTGCAACATTTGTACTGGCAACCAAGCACAAACTGACAAAGATATGAATTCCAACGAGGAGATAATATTTCAGAAAGTTTATGATGAAACATATTTCGATACCACTAATCAGATTTGCTATGTCTTTTCAGCTGTTTATCTTCTTATTATAGAAATATTTGCTAATTTACATATCTTCATCGTCTGCATTATTTCTGCTATGTGATTGAATTTGATAACATAAACCGAAATTTGTCAAATATAATTGTATCTGAAATAACAGGTTATCATTCGCGACTTGTTTGTTAGCACATTTTAACACTCATCTTTACAAGTTTAATTCTGTTCTGATTATTCTTTCAAAAAGATATAGTTCAAAGGGCTTTACGTTGTTATTTGTTAAAAGAAACTATTTTTCAAAAATAAGTTATGTTACTGCATATTGCGTAAGAATGCTATGTGATTGAATTTGATAACATAAACCGAAATTTGTCAAATACAATTGTATCTGAAATAACAGGTTATCATTCGCGACTTGTTTGTTAGCACATTTTAACACTCTTAACAAGTTTAATTCTGTTCTGATTATTCTTTCAAAAAGATATAGTTCGAAGGGTTTTACGTTGTTATTTGTTAAAAGAAACTATTTTTCAAAAATAAGTTATGTTACTGCATATTGCGTGAGAATGTAATATTTACAAAAGTCAATACATTTCCTAATATTATTCACTTATTGAGGTAAGACGATATTCTTTTAAATTCTTTTAAATCAATATCGCCGTATCATTATCTTTTTATTGAAACTGAAACATTCCTTGTCGGTAATCTGAAACATACATGAATTATATCAGTGATTTTAATGTATGTTATAACAGATGTAACATGAGGTCGTAAAGATAACTACCTTACAAGTTCTATAAATTCTATAAATAAACAATAAACTGTTTTAAAAGATGGATCAGACAGAAAAGACATTGGAGCATGGCTTGAAATGATCTAATTAAATGAATCATTGAAGTCTCAATGCAATTTTACTTCCTCAAAACTGGCTACCGTCCATGAACAGGCTCAATCAAACCGAGCCTGCAACATTTTCAATTTTGCCGTGTTGGGCTTTCTTGAGGGATGCTGTTTTTCTCCATCTCGATACACCATTATTATCTACAATGCTTATAAGTTATCAATGACTTTACATTTATGAGAAGTACATATTAATACAGCAAACGTATCTTTATTTACGTGAATATCATACTTAAGATCAAACTTTAGAATCCATCTTAAACAAGTATTTCTTCCTGATCTTAAATCTTCTTCATTAAAATTGTAATGTTTTTCTTTGTTTGTTATTGATACACTACAGTGCAAAATGTTTTTTGTTTGTTTGTTGAAATGCATTATAGAATCTTTGATTAAGGTGAATTATCTTATCTTCCTTTTTGGAAATGTAAATACTCAGAATGTTAAACATTGTTATGACATGATATGCATATGTCTTATCGCAAATGAAAGATTTATGTCATTAGGCCTAGAAACATTTAAACAATACTTATCGTTAATTGAAGGGCTTTATTTCCTCATTGTTGTCTTCAATGTTATCTTTGATTTGAGATAATTCAATGGTTATTTAAACTGATACATCTTTCCTTGGAAACAATAATACTTTTTTTGCAAAAACAAGATCAAAAGATCATTCACATCTAAACATCACAGTATGAAATGCTTCCAGCCAAAGGAGAAGTATAAGGACCCTGTTTACTTATATACATTGTTCAAATAGTTTGAAATATCATTTTAACATTGGAATCTCAAATATCCTTTACTGCGTTTATTTAGGCATTCAATCTTATTTATTCCGTATTAAAAATGTTTCGGATGTGTTTGTCTAAGTATTTCTTTGAAAAGTTTTAATAATTTATAGGGACAGTACATTTAGGTTATGGTTTCTATGACAGTAGACACCACGGTTTTAAAATAAAATAGAAGACTCTCTGAAATAGAAATGGAAGACCTAGTTGGCACACTTCAAAAATATACAATGTGTCCTTGGACAGGACACTCATAAGCTTTCATAGCTTTATGCTCAGTCCCAAATGTATTGTGTAAATATTGTTCATTATAATGTAAATATTGAGTAAAATATGTTTAAACCAAACCAATGTTTTGAAATATCAGTTTTAAGCATTTCATTTTATAAAGGCAAATATCAAACTGCCATTTGAAACAAACATGGGCCTGCAAGAAAGTCATTGCCCTATTTTTTATGGGACAAGAAATTTATCTTGAGCCACAGAAGATTAGATGAATGATAGTAACAAATGCTAGCAGTTCCTATGTATAACACTTAATTTAAATTCTAAACAAAATTACAATTGCTGATATCATATAACGGTGGGAGATATGTTGTTCCCTGTCGGACATGGCAACTAAATTGCAATGTTTCTGTAAATAATCTTTGTATTGCAATTATAGTGAATCAGAAGAAAACAGGCACAATCAAACCGAGTATTCAATTTCTGCTTTTCGGGCGTTCTATAGGGACATCGTATTTTCTAACTATCTGTGAAGACTAATAACTGATTTTTGGGAGGGATGTTCGTTAAGTAATTCAGAGGTCTGCCTGTCATCCCAGGGATCGTCGTTCTAGTAAAAACTACCTCAAGAAAGCGGGGTTGACAATAGATGAAACAAGATATCAAGCTTTCATCAAAAGCGAGCAAAAACAATGTTAATTCATGTTCACGTTTAACAATTGATTAACTCGCGCTTATCTTTTAATAAATATCTGTGTTCATTTTTTTAATATTTCTGAATAATTTATGCAGTCATGAAAACCTACACTTGAAAACCTTAAAATAATCTTTCATAGTCATTTTTACCTTATCTAGTTATAAGCCGAACACAACAAAACTAAACAACTCATTTTAGTTTGGTATACCAGGGAAATAACACATGGTGAAAATAATTTCTTATATTTTTTGTTCAAATTACTGTATTACGCTTAGGCGCCTTGCTTTGATTAGTGTCATATTATGTCATATTAAATAATTAGCATAGCTTGTAACTAAAGAACGTTCTTGTTTTAATCAAATTAAATATTGTAAGCTGTCAAAAATGTGTAGTTATACAGTAAATTGTGAATATATAATATCTAAGTATTCAATAAATGCCAATATGTTAACGCTAATTGAAATTAATATCCCTTTACCCCCAAAATTACCATCCGTATTAGCAAGATTGTTGAAATAATAGCATTCCGTTTCGCTTATATGAAATATGTCGGTGTATTTATTGTACGTTATAAAAGATATTACATGAGGTTGTGTTAGTATGTCTAACGACTTACAAGTTCTATAAAAGTAATGCTAGAAGTAAGCAACTTTTGTTTACCAGATGTAAAAGATGAATTAGCTTGGAAAGTATGGCTTGAACATTATTTAATCTTATTAAACGATGAATTGAAAACTCAAAGAAGTATGCATTTATGTCTTTAAAACGGACCTTTGATGCAACATTATTATCTATTTTCTAATACACTGTATGTCAATATGATTTAATGAGAATTAGATATATTGGTACAACAAATTTACGTTTAGTGGCTGCATGGCCGAGTGGGGAACAAGTCGGACTAGTAATCTAATAATCGCTAGTTGCATGGGTTTAAACCCCCCCCCCCCCCAGGGGCAAGTCATTGTTTCCTTGAGCATGAAACTTTGTACTGATGACTCGGTACTGGTTCGTTCAAGGAACGGATTCGAAAATGTCTCTATAAGCTTATAGCTTCCTACCCAACTGAACTAAAATAAATTCTGTATAAACCAAATTAGCGTTTATCTCAATAAATATCATACCCATAGTCAAATTTTAAACCCTCCTTAAACTAGCCTTTTTCCATGATCTCTTTTCATTTTCTTTGATTAGAAATTGTAATATTATTTTCGATGTTATATTACGTTTCAGTGCAAAATGTTTCCTTTGTTATAGTGCATAATAGAATTTACTGTTAATATCTTTATCTCTTTCATTTCAGACATTTAAACAAAGGCTTAGAATTGATATTAAATATGCATTTGACTGATCGTTGTCATTATGCATTATTTACTCTTGTTAAATATAGCATTTTAACAATACTTATCATTAATGGAGAAGTATTATTTCCTTATTGTTATCTTAAGTCTACTTAACTTTGATTTAAGATAATTTCAATGGTTTCTAAAGTGATACATATATTCCTGGAAACAATACCTTCATTTCCTACTTTATGTATGAAAACTGAATAAATTATAGCTCCTAAGATTATTCTCTCAGTGATCATAAGAGCAGTATAAGGGTCTAGTTTACGATATATGTTGCTCATATGCTTTAATAAAATATTGTGATTTTGGAATCTTACATATCTCTAGAAGTTTTTACATGTCGTAATTAAAGAGTATGTATAGATTTTTATTGCACTTGGGAAATCTCTCCTTTCAAGCATTAACAATAAGAACGAACATAATAATAATAATAATAAAATATTATCTAACAAGAAAGCAGGTTTCTTGTAACAGAGGCTATTATTTTCTTGTTGTTTTCTTACATGATATTTTAGATATTTAATTATAGCAAATTTGCAGACTGATAAGTATCTTCTTGGCAACAATTACACTGTAACTTGCTAATTACCTTGCTTCTGGTGAAATCATATGAATGTATTTATCAATATTTAGACAAGTATTGCGTGTTCATTTTTCTTATATTTCTATATAATTATGCAGTGATGAAAACCTACATTTGAAAACCTTAAAGCAATCATTTACAGACATTTTACCTTATCCAGTTACAACCTGAGCAAAGCAAAACTGAACAAATCATTTTATTTTGGTATAGAAGCGAAATAACACATGGTTAAAATAATTTCTTATATTTTT